GAGCCTTGGTATAAACGAGCAAGAAACGCACCACCAAAGGTTGCCACGAACCACGACTTAAGGGAAGTGAGCCCTAGCCACATTATTGCCCTCAATCTATAAATCACAACCGCAAATATTAGTCGAAGTTCTAGCATTTAAAACTGCATCCACCAAAAAGAAGTGCCTTTCAACAATATCAGCCCACAGTCCAAAGGATAGAGCTCAACGAACAACCAGAAACCCACCACCACTATAACACCAACATGCAAGCAACCAAAAAACAACACTCTTACACATAAAGAGAGCACCACCAATAACAAAACCCAGAATTATTTCTTGCCACGCCTATCCCTCCCACGAGGTAACATAGACAACAGGTCGGTCATTCCGCATTGCAAAATCTTTCATAGGTTCTTCCTCCCCACTAGCCTCCGAAGAGGAATCAGACGAGCCTTGAAGCCAATCAATTTACATTCTGACATCCTCCCCCACATGAGCAAACAAAGCCTCAGGAGAAATTAAGTTAACATGAACGTCAATAAATAGGTCGGGTACAAGAACAGTAGGCATCATAGGGGACGTAACATTAAAGACACCCACACGAGCAAAGAAATCACTGACCAAAGCTTCAGAATTAAGTTGTGAGACAGAATGTACAGTGCCCGAAGAGTCCTGGGACTCAACTCGATTCAACTCACATGCAACAAAATCCTCACCCTTCGAAGAGGCCACTACCAAAGGGCTAGAAACAACAGTAGGGGGGCAAATATTATCCAAAATGTTAGAGTTGAAAACAACTACACCACTCAACGAAATAGCCAAAGTGGCCGGCACAACCTCACCAGAGACAGGGAGAGATAAATCAGCTAAATGTTTCCCAATATCAACAGCAACCATGTCACAATTCCCAACATTACTAGCAACAGGATTACAATCAAGATTAGCTACATAATTATCCTTACTACAAGTATTAGGTTCCGGCACTAAAATCAAATCGCTAATAACAGGAGCGTGAACCACAGAGACCACACCAAGCTAAGGGACATCAACATCCACCCTCTCCCCCAGATCAGAAACGAAAACAGAGGAAGATGACTTAAGGGGGACGTTAAGTGTAATGTCAGTTTTGCTCCAGGTTCGTCCAGGACAAAGTTGGATCGTCCGGGTGCATTTGATATTTTTAGTAGCTCTGGTCTGTTTTGTATGATATTTGGAAGATTCAGTTCAGTAAGCAAATTCCAAAGCTAGATCCTGGTTAGTTCGTTAAGCTGATCGCGGCCCGGTGCGGGGCGGGATCCGTCTCGGGTCGGGTCGTGACATTAAGAGGGACACCAACTTTGGACTTACATTCCCCCCTAGCATGTCCAATAGATTGACAAAAAGCACAAAATGGGGGGAAAACCTCCATCTTAACCTTTTGGATGTAGCCAAGCTTCTCATGGCCAATCCAAACATTTTTCAAAAATTTTTTCGTTATATCAATCTCAATCAAAACTCTCGCGATGATTGAAAACTCGAATGTAATCAAGGTCATTCGAGAGCTTAACCAGAATATGTGAAGAATCAAGCACAGGGACAGAAAAGTCAGCTATAAGTTTCAAACTGAAAAAAAAAAATCGCCTTATAGAGTTTAAACTAGGTCGCATGGCAGGAAAAAATCCAACAAGCGAAAATTGGAAGGGAGCTGCCAGAGCCCTAATTTCATCCTCAGATATCCACAGTGAAGGCATACCACGGAAAGACGAAGACTTAAGCTCCGGGAAACAAACACTAGACAACGAACTAGCTAATGCATCGGCAAAAGAACGCAAAAAATTGGAACCAGATAAAAAACCAAGGTCCAACAGGCGCATCGACGCCATATGACCAGGAAAAACTCGAAAAGACCAAAGAACGAAAGAGGCATGAAAAAGAGAAAACTTCCATGAGCAAATCGGCGGCGAAGGCCGTCGAGGGAACGCCCCCCAACGAAACCCTAGGACGACGAGAGAGACGACCAGGAGCTAGGATAATAATTATGTAACTTCATTTAACTTAAGAAATAAGTTATAGATGATATAAAAAAAAGTTTCATATTTAGGTTTTGTTTGGCGAGCTTTAAGGGTCTCTTTTAGATTGATTTTCTTATTATTTTATCTTTCAGATAGATTTTAATTATCATTTTTATTTGATTAATATTTGATTTTTATTTTTTAGAAATTTATGTGTCATAAAGTTATTTTTTAAATTATCTTTCCTTACATCAATTATACAGTCATCTTTATGAAAAATGAAAGTTGTCCTAAATTGATCCTTAGCTTTTCTATTTGTATTTTTAAAAGCAATCCCAAACAGATCTTTTAAGTTATTTTATTTTTATTTTAGAAGCCATTTTATGAACTGCTGTTTTAAAAATGCTTATCCAAAAATATCTTTTTAAATGTAAAAATTTAAATTTGCGAAGAATAGCAGTTGAAAATTTTTTCCAATCAAAGCTACAATTTTAAATAATGTGTTTTAATATTTTAATTCTTATGTTAGATTTTATCTTAAATATTTCATCACTTTATATTTTTTAAGTAAATTTATTTTATCAATGAGATTTTTTTTTAATTTTTTAATTTAAAAAAAATATTTGTCTAGAAAATTGTATTAAAAATAGTAAGAAAACTGTCCCAAATAAAATTTTAATCAACATAACAAATGAATATTTACGTGTGGTAATCGGACAGTCTGAAGATCAATCAAGATTTCTTATGTCACCCAATATATAACAGTACATAATAATGACACATAACGTAATTGTGATGTGGCGTGTCCTAATTGACCTCCGAACAATATCCGGTGGCTGCACATAATAATTTTGCCATATATATAGGGAGAGAAATCAATGCCAATGCTATATAATTATTATACCACGTAAAAAAAAACCACCATAGTTTCTTCTAGATGAATGAGCTAATTCATAAATATGTTTCATGAACTCCAAAGATTTATAAAGGATATCTATGCTTTTAAATTTTTTTTTCATACAAATAATAATAAAAAAAATTTATGATAAAAGAAGAAAGCTTCAAAGTACAAAGATTAGCTATGTTTAAGCAATATGCTTACGAAGTTCCCTTCGAACATTTCCTGACCCTAAGATTGAATAGTCTATACTTTGATATTTAATGCATCTGGATCTCTCTATAAGTCCTAAATATTAATTAGTAGCGTCTAATAAGTACCATAATATCTAATTGTTTATCTCCATCCAAATGATCACTGTGTGCAATTGTTGAACCTTTCTATTTAGTTCTACATCATTTGTACTTTTCAAAGATATAAATGATATGGCACTAAATAAAAAGATTCAACAATTGCATGCATTTTTTATATAGCTTCATATGAAAAATTTTCTTATATTTTTGTTGATAAAAAATAGTTAGCAGTTGTGGTACATATTTGCGATGTGTACAATCTATCTCATTATATTTGTCACACGTTTATTAGAGACCAATTTTATGACAAGCCTTGAGGTCATAAATATATCTCATCACAATACTTGAGATGAATATCCCGGTTGCAAAAATACTCTATAATCTTATTTCCGTAATAAAAGACTTTGATATATGTGACTCACAAAAAGTGTTGGGAAGTAAACCACTCAACGAAATAAACAAGAAGAGAAAACATCGAAAATGAACATTAGGATTTTACGTGCAAAATATGAAATTGGGAGAAAATCATAGAACCACACTACATAAAAAAATTCACTATAAAAATACAAGAAATTATACAAAATATCTTTTGCTCTCACTCTCTCCTTGTCTCACCTCACTACTTCACACTAATCCGCTCAAAATAAACAAAGAGATGTAATAAAATTACACCAAGGGATGCAACCCTTCAAGCTAGGCATAAAAAATGACAAATAGTATTGCCCAGTCTAACTCGTAGCTCTGGCGTTTAGCATTGCGATGCTCCACTTTTTATCTTCTACATAACCGTCGCGTCGCAGCAGCACTAGCTTTAGAGTGGTGCAACACTCCTCTCTCTATCTCCAAATCAAGACTACAATGCTGCTGCGTTGTATCCTATGACATTGCAGTGCACAAGTGTACACTGCTTTAATGTACACCGTTGTGATACTCTATGGTTGTACAAACAACAACAACATCATCAAGCCTTTATCCCACTACATGGGATTAGCTACATGAATCATTTTTCCTATTGTGTCTTGTTAAAAGTTAAATTCTCATTAAAATCTAATAAAAAAATGCCATTTTTAATATTTTCTAACCTAGTCCTTTTAGGACTACCTCTATCTTTTTTAATGTATAAGTCAAATTTAATACAGCTACTCTCCTAATTGGGTCACTGGAAGGCAATTATTTTATGTGACAAATCATCTATGGTGACTCTTTGATCTTATCTTGCACTAACGCTACTCCAATCTTTTGATGTATAAGCTCGTTTCGTATCCTATCTCTAAGAGTAACACCACTCATCTACCTGTGCATCTTTATCTCTGCAACACTTAACTTAATATTTTGCTTATATTTTAATGAGCAATATTCTGCACTATAAAGCATTGCAGGTCTCACCACCATCTTATAGAAATTTTTCTTAAGTTTGAGGGAAACTTTTCTATCACACAATAAGACTGATGCATTTCTCACTTCAACCATCCAACTTGAATTCTGTTAATAACATCCTCATCTATTTTACCATCACTATGAATAATAGACCCAACATATCTAAAGTGTGTACAAGAATGACTTGACCGTCCAAGTCACAATCATTCAATAGATCTATTACTACTTAAATTACACTCAATATATTCGATTTTAGATATACTCAACGAAAATCTTTAGACTTTAAGGTTGACCTCCATAATTCAAATTTACCTTCAACCCCCTCTTTAGTCTAATCAACAAGAAGAATATCATCACTAAAAAGCCTACACTAGGGTAGAACCTCTTGCAAATGTCTTCTGAGAACATCGAAGGCTAAAGAAAAAAGATATGTGATTATAAGGATGATCCTTGATATAATTCAACTAAAATAGTAAAATACTTGGTCAAACTAACTTGTGCTTGAACACAAGTAATGGCTAACCTTAGATCATGCCAATTGAGCTTGACTAACGAAATGGAGATTTGAGTTAAGAGATCAATTCAATTGATCGAAACAATCATATTCCACATTGTACTAACAAAAAGAGTCCTCCTTATATACATTTCAGAAAAATTCACAAGTTCTCGTTGATGCATTTGTCTGAAATAAATTCAAATTCATCGATATCACTACTTTTTTAGTGAAAAATCATCTATAAATGTTTAAGAAGTTCAATTAAAAAATAAATAAATGGCTCAGTCAAAAATAAGCATTCATGAATATGGATATGTTGTTCATTTAAAAAGATTTCTTTCTTGATGATTAGAGGAATAAATCTTCGAGAGAAAAGAAACAGTAAAAGGACAGAACAAAAGACTTTGAATTGTTATTTCATAATGTATAGATCATAGACTTTGAATTGATACGGGGATTAATCTTCCGATCGATAATACAATAAGAAATTAGGGCGAACCTATTCCAAGCAAACTATTTTGCTCATTTTTTTATCTGTGGCGTTACGTTTGATTTGCCTATTCTTTCTTTATTAATCAGTCGATGTTATACATATAACAGTAAAAAAGTCATCCCAAATGAAACCAGCTAAGTCTTATCCCACTATGTGTATTTGGCTACATGAAATAGATCCTATTAAGAATCAAATGATTGGAACGAACTTATAGAACAATAACATATAAGATCAATTACATAAACAACACTTAAATTTTAATTATTTACAAAACAAATATCATTCCTTTTATAAAAAAAAAAAAAATCATTCCTTTTATATTTTAAATTCTCATCTAAATATCAAATTCCCAAAAATAATCCTACAAATATTTTTCAATTTTATGAAATTCTCAATACTTTAATGTTAGTTTTGTAAACTATAAGATTTGAGTAATATATATGAAATTTTCTCATATTTAAATGACATAAAATGAAGTAATTTAATTTAATGTGCAGCTAAATTTGAAAATATTGATTATATTTCTCAAACGGTATTTAATAAAATAATAAAATTGGGAGATTTACATTCTTATCATAAACTCTTATATATTTACATATCAAATATCTAAATTTTAATATTTACATTTTTAAACCTTTAGCATCTCAACCACATCAAAACATATACTTAAAAATATGCATGTCACTTTAAAAAAATTAAATTTAATGTTATTTTTTATATAATTTAAATATTTGAGTATTATATAAGTAAATACTAAAATTTAAACACTGAATACTAGACCTGTCAATTTCGGGTTACGGGTCGGGTTGACCCGAACCCGAAACTGACCCAGCGGGCAGCGCGGGGCTGGCGGGCAGGGGGAATCGGGCAGCGCGGGGGCAGCGAACTGGCGGGGAGAGAAATTTGATTTTTTTTAAAATAAATAGGTTTTCGGGTTGACCCGGCAACCCGTCGGGTCAACCTGAACCCGACCTGTTTTTGCAAACGGGTCGATTTTCCGGACCCGAACCCGACCCGCTTCGGGTTCGGGTCAACCCAAACCCGAAAATTCCGGGTTGGGTTCGGATCGGGTTTTCGGGTCGTGTCCAATATTGACAGGTCTACTGAATACAGTGGGTCGGACTCTTGCTATGCCTAGGGTGGGCCCCTAAAAAAAATAAAATACTCTTTATGATCGGGATGATAGGGTAATTTTCCCTGTACACCTCACATGATTTGACCTAGTCGACCTGTAACCATGTTCATGCGTAATTTTTGAAATCGTGAGCAACTCTCCCTCACTACTTCCTCTTCTCTTCCACACTTTTTCCATTTCTTTATTTCATTAGTAAGCAACTAAGCATCTTGTTGTTTGGGACTAGAATTTCATATTGAGTTTGCCCACCCTCGAAGGTGAAGCTGGATTCACTCCTGTGAATATATAATATATATAAGAGATTGAGAGTTGGCACACATGAGAATCACAGAGACGGAACAAAGTGTGAGATGTGAGAGAATAAGAATTTTAGCGTGAGAGAACTATATTTTACAAGTTTTAGATGTTGGATATATAAATATGTAGGTTTAGAATACTATATTGATAAATCCCAAAAAAGAAAAACATTTATTAAAATTTCAAAATTATCCTCATAAAAATTAGGTCAGACATTTCAGAAAGCAAATATCTATTCATTTCCATGCAAAAAAAAATCTTACATTCAACTTATTATCATCACATATAAATAAAAAGAGATTAAGGTTTCATTTGAGACTATTTTTTATTGCTTCATAAAATAATTTTTTAGTATACAAATTTTATTTGTTGTATTAAAAAATTATTTTAAAAAATAATAAAAAAATGATCCCAAACGAAGCTTAATAGAACATTCTCAAATCAAAATCGCGAGAGAATCATCCTCTGCGTCAGCAGATCACCGGCGCTGCCGCTCGACGAATCCGTCTTAAACAAGAAGTCATAAATCTCATATCTCACCACACAGCTACTATACAGCACACGACAGCCTTTACGATAGCTACAGTAATCGGGAAACAGACCCACCGCCGACTCCAAACACTCCCTACAACTCTCCGGCGATAAATCCCGCGTGCACTGCGCCATCCCCCTAACAGTCACATTCTCTGTAAACGCCGTCACCCCCCAACCAAACCTCTTGGAACTCCTCACCGCCGATTCATCCACTCTGCCCATCAGTTCCTTCACGGCTTCGCTAAACCTTACGGGATCCGTGGCGTTCTCGACGTTGTAGACAATGACGGCGTAGCTGGTGTCTGACTTGCCCAGGAAGTCGTCGGAGTCGTAGCGGAGGAAGCAGTATTCGTACCAGATGCGGGCGTCGGTGCGATTGGGGCAGAGGGAGGGGAGTTGGGTGGCGGCGGCGGTGATGCAGGATGAGCAGATGTCGGGTGAGAGGTCTCCGCGGCAGCGGGTGAGGCCGTAGATGGTGGTGGTGAGGTGGCCGTGGGAGGAGATGGCGAAGCCGGATTGAGGGGTTCTTTTTTCGAGGTCGGAGAGGACGAAGTTGATGTTGGCTTGCAGGGGATTGGTGGAGTTAGTGAAGGTGTTTCCGCCGCAGTAATGGGTGATGGCGTCGTCGGAGAGGGCGAGGGGAAGGAGGAGGAGTGGGAGCAGGTGGAGGAGGAGGGATTTGACGGTGAACGCCATAGTAGATGCCTTCTATGAGAGCTGATTCATGACTTTGCATTCATATAGAGGAGAGATTATACGGTGGAAATTATATATTTGAGACTTAAAAAATTATTTTAAGACGAGGATTATTTATTTATAAAATTATTATATTTATATCATATAAATTTTTTTAAAATTTGTCATGTTCAATTGATCTGTGTGAGTCGTCGTGCCGCTTTTTTTGAACTTTTGCAGTAAGCTTTGATCGAGATATTTAACAGGGATTGAATAGTCTCATGTTTGAAACTGGGTGAGGTGCGATCCCTCTAGAAGTTCTAAATGCTAAGGGCATCTCGAACCTAAAATCCCATTTTTCACTCTAAAATATAGTAAAACTTCAAATTGCGGTAGTTCATCTCCAATACAACTCAATTTTTCTTTTTTCACGTGCTTCTTTTGCGAAGGTAAACATCACTCTCTTGCTTCGGGCTTCCTGCGAAGCTAAGCAGAGTGGGAAGGTAATCACTTTTTTTGGACATAGATGAACAATCCGATGAAAATATTGGAGTAGCACTGTTTACCTACCGATTTTTAACGTAAAATTTGGAATTCGAATACAGCGATTCGCAGATTGCATGCATACAATAATATGCGGTTCGGTTGGAGGTGTTCTAATGAGTTGTGATAACAATGGCATATTCAGCTGCTTATCGCCGATGATATGGTCAATACAAGCTGCCGTTGAATCTTTTTATTTGGCACTGCAGTGCGCCACTGATGGGAATCAGTGAGCTGTCCCATCCACCATTGAACTCAAGGTTTTGAAATCTGGATGAAGGATTAGTGCTGCAAGCACTGATTTTATGGTGGAGGCCGACCTAAAGCTTGTTTGTGTGGTTTCAAATTTCTATATTTTTATTTTGTTAGAGGATATAGTGGGTTGAGGGTATTTCTTTAAATTTGTATAGTATCTTGGAATATTTATAATAATAGAGTTAGAATACTGAAGAAATGTTGATTAATGATGATGAAAAGAGATGGCTGATCTTCGTCGGGAAAGTTACAACAATGGACAAAATTGTTAGGCCATTAAATCAACATAGAAGATATCTCGATTGTTGAGAGCTTGGGCTATTATAAATGATTTAAGAGCAATATACTAGTTAGAAGATGAGAACTCTATCTTAGGAAACTCTTAAGCATTGATGTGCCTTTTGATATAGCAGATGAAATTCCAATAAAAACTCTAAAATTAAGCAAGCTCGTACGAGAGCATTCCTTGAATGAGTGACATTATGAAACGTTAGATGAATGGGATAAAATCGTGACAATGTTAGACTAAAGTAGACAATATTTCAATGATAGAGTTTGAGATGTTACCGATCATGTAATTGTGATTGGCTAGATGATTAAAGTTGGGTTGTATTGGTTGATGAGTATTATCATCAATGCCAATCAACAAAAATATCTAAAAAAAATTCTTTAACTTTCTCAGCTCTTTAAAATTTCATTAAATTCTTTTTATGTGAAAATGAGAGTTTATTTATTATTCCGCAATGAATTTGTGGCTGAAATAATAAAAAAAAATTAAAAATCCGAACCTGACCGTTTGCCCGCTACTCAAGCCTGACCGATCCTGATCTTCTTCTCTTAGAAATCAGCCCATTCTCCACACGACCACAGAGACCAAATATAACAGAACACCTTTTTTTATTTATAGTATAACTTATATTGCAGCAGATTTGCAACATATAATTCGGTCGCAAAAACTTTTTTCAAAAATTTCCGTCTCAAATCCGTCGTCATTTTTGACAAAAAATAGTCCTCTGTAAAGTCCGCTGTAAATTTGGAACTTTCATGTAGTGTTTTGAAATGATTGGGCTCATCTTATTGAAAGATTTGTTTCAATTGTAAGTTTTATGAAATTAGAGTCCAAATGGTTCGAATTTTAATTTCATTAGTTTTCAATTCAAATATTATGTCGAGCTTAGTACAGATCAAATGAATTTTCAAATGACGTATGAATTATGATCCAAATCATATATTTTGTGATTTAATACTCATCATTGGAAAAAAAAAACTTTTTATTTATCTTTGTGGTAAGAAGAATATCTAATAAAACTAAGGATAATTTGAATGAAAATAAATGTAGTGAGTCCTATTTTTTTTAATTTACCAATGTACTCATCACACGAATTTTAAGATATTTTTTAGATCTCACAGAAATTATGCATGTAGTTAATAACATAATTAATTATGAGATAAAAAATAATTAATTATGAGATCACTAGAGTTCTATCAACAAAAAATTTGAGGTTAAGATGGTAAGATAGAACCAATGATGCAAAGATTATTGGAATTTGAGTCTAAATGGGACTAAGGGTACTGATTTTGGATGGCTACGATATTTTAGAAAGGTCGTTATAAAGTTGTTGTAAGGAAAGTCAACTTAACTATTCTAATTATAAAAACTACTTCTATTACCTAATTTTTTAAAAGCATTGAAAAAGCATTAATCTAATGAAATTTTAAAACATGCTCTAAAATAGACTATGATGGCTTATGTTTGTAAACACCTGCTTGTGTATTTATATTGAAGAACATTACAGAAAATAGAGAGTAATGGCCTACTATATTTCACTGTCTTTTATATAATGGGCAATATAGTGTTTTATATCAGTTGAGTTAGTGTAAATCAATATGAATCAAAAGTAGTTGTAAGTTGACAGATAACAACCGATGAGGCATTGTTCAGCGCTACAGAGAACCCCCCTTTCCCCCCTCCCCCCCGAAAGAGATTGGAGAAATCATGATCTTGTCATGAAGAACATAAAACAACAGCTTAGGTAGGACTTTCATGATGATATCCATAATTTGATCCTGGGTTTTGATATGATGAATAAGGATCACGTTATTCTTGATGCAATCTCTAATAAAATGATAATCCACCTCAATATTCTTAGTTCGAGCATGAAAAATATGATTATAAACAAGAGCAATGACAGAAACATTATCACTATATAAAATTGTTGGTTGGAAAATTGGGAATTGAAGATCAGTTAACGTTCGTCAGATACAAATGATATCAGTGGTAGTAGTGGCTAAAGCTTGGTATTTTGCTTTGGTTGAAGAATGAGCAATGGTTGGATGCTTTTTAACACACTAAGAAATTAATGTAACTCCAAAAAATAAACAATAAATAGTTGTAGACTTTCTATCAAGCAAGCCTCTAGCCTAGTCAGAATAAGTGTAGACATGCAAAGTAAATGATGCAAAATTCATAGGCAAACGAAGTCTAAAGTGCCTATAATGTATCAAAGCAAATGTTTGAGTGATTGAAAATGATGCAGCAATGGTGTATTGACCTAATTTGTTAACAAGAAATGAAATATCAGGCCGAGTTATGGTTAAATATTGCAAGGAACCAACCAAATGCCGATACAATTCCAAATTCTGAAATAGGGAAAGAACAGTTACATCCATTGATACTTTATCGAGGAAAATGAGTAATTATAGGCTTGAAGGTATCTAGGTTGGCTTAGTGAAGAAGTTATCTCGCATATTTTATTTGATGTAGATGGAGTTAGTTTGAGGTATATAGTGTTTGAATGCCCAAAAACAGAGAAAAATTCCCAAAAAGTTTTAGATCTGAAAGTGCTATTTAAAATTGGTGAGAAGAGCGATAATAATTGAATCATTATTACCAGTCAAAAGGATTTCATTGATAAACACAATCAAATAGGTAAGATTTGAATTGGAATTGTACATACGCAATGAGGGGATGGCTTCACTATGTGAACATCCAAGACTTTGCAAATGAGAGGTAAGTTTGAAAAACAAGTAGCGAGGGCACTTCTTGAGGTCATAGATAGTCTTGTGAAGCCTACAAGAAAATGTAAGATTTTGAGGATCTTTAAATCCCCGTATATATTGCATTTAGATTGTTTCCTTCAAGTCATCATGTAAGAAAGCATTGGAAACTTCAAGTTGTATAATAGATTAGTGTCGATGAACTGCTGCGGTGATAAATAATCGAATGGTAGGCAATTTGACAAATGGACTAAAATTTTATGTAAAATCATATCTATATTCTTGAGTATAAGCTTGAGCTAGCAACCAAACAGGCTCTATAACATGCAACCGAGCAATCAGAATGAAACTTAGTTTTGTAAATCCATTTACAACCTAATATGTTTTGATCAGATGGAGGCAGAACCAGATGCCATGTACCTTGGGATTTAAGGAAGCCATATGCAGATGAGTAACCATAGGATGAAGACGTGGAGGTGGAGATGATTAAGCTTTTGCTGTAAGCTGGAAGGAAAATCTGGAGGAAGTGAAGAGGAGATAGAGGAAGCTTATGAAGAGGAGTGGGTAAAAGATTGTGAATAGTAGTAGAGATTGAAAGAGATTGTCCATTTTTGACCTGAATCTACTGTGATTCATAATACGGCTGTGGGAAACTTAGATGCTTGCATTGGAATCATGTGTTAAATGAGAAGTTGCTCTAGTGTCCAATATCAATAAATAGACTGGGAATTTGAATCAATGATTCAGCTATCCAATCAGATAAGGAGTTGCTGGTGTAATTGAGTTAGTGCGATGCCAATACTTGATAGCAGAGTGGCATTTTTTCATAAATCTGACATTCAATTCAAATAGAAGTGGGATGTGCTCCTCTGTTAGTAGGGGACTGAGAAAACGCAGTCATGCCACCCCTTGTGTTTCGAACAAAGGATGAACGAGCACCACCTTGACCAGGAGATGTAGTGAGAGCAACTGAAGATTCTCACAACTGGATCAATTGAAGTTCTTGAGCAGCTTCATTCATTATATTAGTCTCTTCATTACATAGTAAGGAATAAAAATAATCCAAAGATAGAGTTTGAAGATTGGTGCGAGCCGCTATTTTGAATGACTGATATAAAGAGGGAAACCCACATTAAGTGTATAAAGTATAATATCTTTGGATCTAAGGGACAACCAATGACATTTATAATATCCACCTTGAGCTTGATTTCTCATAAATGTTGCTACATAGTCTTGTTAAGCATGGAAATA